GGCCCAGCATGCAGTGCTCCATCTGCTCCTCCACTGCCAGCACCTGGCGCACAGCTTCCTCAAAGGCCACTGTTACATTGGTGTCATCCTTGGCACTAGTCTCCAGGTACGGATAGTTACCATTTTCCATGCACCAGGCCCGGGCCTCCTCTGTGCTCACCTGTCTCTCCAGTTTGTCTATCTTGTTGCCCAGGACTACAAATGGGAAGTGTTCAGGGTTCTTCACATCAGCATAATAGATAAACTCCTTCTGCCAGTTACTGAGGTTCTCAAAGCTCTGCCGGTCATCCACGCTGAAGGTCAGCAGGCAGCAGTCTGCTCCCCGGTAAAACGGCGTCCGCAGGCTCTTGAACCTCTCCTGTCCTGCAGTGTCCCAAATCTGGAGGGTCACAAACCGCCCGTCCACCTCCAGGTCCCGGTTTAAGAACTCCACCCCAATCGTGTGGAACGCCTGCGAGTCAAACTTGTTGGTGACGTACCGATTCATGAGGGAGCTCTTCCCAACTCCACCATCTCCAAGGAGAATGACCTTTAGGAGCAAGGATTTCCCACTCATTGCAGCAGGATGGAGGGGCAGGGTACCAAGGCAATCTGCAGGGTTCAGAAATAGTACAGAGCAGACATTTGACTTATGGGTTCTCCAGAAAGACACACAGAGAACAGAATATGGTATCCCCATTTCTCAAGTTTTGTATGTAGGAGGAAATGTCTCTTTTTAGAGAGATCTTATTATCCTAATCTCTCTTATTAAAAAGTTTAGAGCTGGGAACTGGACAAACTTTCAGGCACTGAAGTCCTCCATCAGGTCCAAAATGGATGCAGCACATGAACCTTTTAAGTGAAAGGTAAAAACAACTGTTCAGAGTTCAGTATCAATTACACCACTTTTGGTGAAAACTCTGTATCAGAAAGCTTGTCCAGTTTTTCCAAACACATCAGCACTACTTAAAACATCTCTCTGGGCCTGCATCCTGTGAGGCTATCACAGAAACAGCAAAATCACCAGGGGTGGTCATCACCAGGCCTTTCTTTCCAGTGCACCATCACCAGCTAAATAATTTCTCCTCTCTGACTTGCTCTACTGGAAGGATGTAATAGACGTGCAGGTCTAATATCAACACAAGTAATTTGTCAAGCCAGTTCTTAATCACCCTGAGGATGCTGACTCACCTTGCCAGCGGAGCTGCGCGTGATCTCTGCTGCTCAGAAGGGGTTTCCCAGGCACAGGGACCAGCTGCTCTTTGCTGGCAACGCCTGTCACAGCCTAGTTTGCTCAGGCTCAGCTGCAAGTCCACATTACAACAACCCAGACACCACAGGTTCCTTAGTCAGCACCCTCAAGGCCAAGTGCCAATGCATCCTCCCCTTCCCACGGACACTCTGCTAAGGTAAAGGCCTGACATGGAATAAGAGGTTTGTTTGGCTGTTATACTGTACCTGCTCTGTCTCCAGGACTGTCCAGGAAACACCTTCCTCCAGTGTAACAGTTACTAAAAAACAAACATCAGTCATCAAGGTTATCAGAGCTGCCCTCATTGTCTTTCAGTTTGTGATGCTGATCAAGGATGGAAGGACAACAGCAGAGCACTAGGAACCTGCATGTGCAGTACTGATGGCTGGAGTAAAACAGCAAGAACAAAACACTGAGGAGTTTCCCTTCCCCACAGCCCATTTCTTACCAGGGCAGAGGGAGTACAGTGTGCATGCTGAACCCCAGGTAAGAATAGAAGAAACAGAAGGGACTCTGAGATGTTCACATATCACCTGTGCTGTACACCCTGTGTGAGCCTGGCTGTGCACCCTGTGTCTCCCCTCAATCCAGGGGAAGATTCTGTGATCTGTTTTACCTACCTACTCACACACCCTGGAATCTGATTTGAGGATTGAACACGTACCTGAATCTACTAACGAGGAAAGTGAGCCAGCTGGTAACAGCAGACAAGGAAAGTGAGCCAGCTGGTAACAGCAGACACAGAGCTTGCTTACACCTGCTACCAACACTCCCGGGAAGGGCGTGGATGAGTAGTGCTGCTTAGTGATGACATCTCCAACCCATTGAAGCAGGAGTGTGTGGCACTGCTCAGATCAGCACTCCTACTCCTTCCAGGCCAAACCCTGCTTTCTGTCTTAACCTGGGGGGCCCTGATCAACCTCGATTCTGCTCTTTCCGCAGCCCTTTCAAACGGTGCTTACCACAAAGCCAAAAGCAGAAACTTCTGCTTTAAGTGAGTTTCTGCACTTTCTGCACAAAAGGCTCACAAATTTCACTTCCTTGCACAGAAACATCTCCAACCAAGCACAGCAAAGCTAACCTGATGGGCTATTTGAGGAGCACTGTGTGACCCACTAGTTCTAAAGCAGCCCTAAATGCAAATGTCAGAAGAGACAAACAGGAACTAACTGCAGCACAGGTCCCCATGGCCCATGGCTTAGGGGAAATCCTGCCCCATGAGCAGGTGAGCTGTTCAAAACCCTTGTTCCTTTCCCAAACCTTCCTGAGGGATATTTAAGCCAGTCATTGTCACCAAAGCTCCTCCTGGCACAGGCCATCAGCCCCGAGCAGAGTTTCTGTTTAGAAATGCTCTGTTAGCAAGTGACTCTTTTTTAAAATGACTAAATGTCGGGCTGCTCCAGAGCCTGCAGGTCAGCACGCTGCCGGCAGCCGTGACACAGCCTTGACACCTTGACCCCATTGCGAGCTATTCCAGAGGCTGAACCCCACTGAAGCAGGGCCGACCCGCTCCCGCAGGGCGCCAGCACCTGTGTGCAGGTACCAACAGCGGGGTGGGCATGCCGGGTCCGACTCCCCCCTGCTCCCCAGACCCCGGCTCGGCGGAGGCGATACCCTCCGGCGGGTCCCATCCCGCCCCACGGGAGCGGCCAGGGAGATGCCCGCAGCCGAGGAGCGGCACCCGCAAGGGACCCCCTCGGCTCGGGCCGGGGTGAAGGGGCGGCCCTCCAGCTCCCCCC